ATGTATCAGGGGCGGACTGACTGTTTGGAAACTCGGGCACTGCCCGATGGCCCGGGGTCAGTAGGGGGCCCCATGAGATGCCCCTGGTACCTTTTTCATAGGCTTTCTTGAGTTTGGGCAAGGACACAGGGGCCCCATGATCCCCTATTGCCCGGGGGCCCCATGAGTTGTCAGTCCGCCCCTGGTATGTATGTATGTGTGTGTGTGTATGTATGTATGTGTATATATATATATATATATATATATATATATATATATACAGTGGGGATGGAAAGTTTGGGCACCCCAGCTAAAGATTTGTATTAATGTGCATAAAGAAGCCAAGGAAAGATGGAAAAATCTCCAAAAGGCATCAAATTACAGATTAGACATTCTTATAATATGTCAACAAAAGTTAGATTTTATTTCCATCATTTACACTTTCAAAATAACAGAAAACAAAAAAATGGCGTCTGCAAAAGTTTGGGCCCCCTGCAGAATTTCTAGCATGCACTGCCCCCTTTGCCAAGCTGAGACCTGCCAGTGTCATGGATTGTTCTCAATCATCGTCTGGGAAGACCAGGTGATGTCAATCTCAAAGGTTTTAAATGCCCCGACTCATCTGACCTTGCCCCAACAATCAGCACCATGGGTTCTTCTAAGCAGTTGTCTAGAAAACTGAAACTGAAAATAGTTGACGCTCACAAAGCTGGAGAAGGCTATAAGAAGATAGCAAAGCGTTTTCAGATGTCAATATCCTCTGTTCGGAATGTAAATAAGAAATGGCAGTCATCAGGAACAGTGGAAGTTAAAGCAAGATCTGGAAGACCAAGAAAAATATCAGACAGAACAGCTCGCAGGATTGTGAGAATAACAATTCAAAACCCACGTTTGACGGCACGATCCCTCCAGAAAGATCTGGCAGACACTGGAGTTGTGGTCACTATTCCACTATAAAGAGATACTTGTACAAATATGGTCTTCATGGAAGAGTCATCAGAAGAAAACCTCTTCTACGTCCTCACCACAAAAATCATCGTTTGAACTTTGCAAATGAACATATAGACAAGCCTGATGCATTTTGGAAACAAGTTCTGTGGACCGATGAGGTTAAAATTGAACTTTTTGGCCGGAATGAGCGAAGGTACGTTTGGAGAAGAAGGGGCACAGAAATGAATGAAAAGAACCTCTGTCCAACTGTGAAGCATGGGGTTGGATCAATCCTGCTTTGGGGCTGTGTTGCAGCCAGTGGCACAGGGAACATCTCACGAGTAGAAGGAAAAATGGATTCAATAAAATTTCAGCAAATTTTGGATGGTAACTTGATGCCATCTGTGAAAAAGCTGAAGTTAAAGAGAGGATGGCTTCTACAAATGGATAATGATCCTAAACACACCTCGAAATCCACGGGGGATTACATCAAGAGGCGTAAACTGAAGGTTAGCTGGGGTGCCCAAACCTTCGATCCCCACTGTATATATCTGTGTGAGTGTGTGTGTGTGTGTATATATATATATATATTTATGTATATATGTGTGTGTGTGTGTGTATATATATATATATATATATATATATATATATATATATATAATTTATTATTATTATTTTGATCATTATTCAATTTTTTAATTAATCATGTAGTGTAGATATAGGATGACTACGACTCCTATTATATACTGTATATATTTTTGACATTATGAAATATGCAGAAAACAGCGTACAATAAAAGCATTTTAATTTCTGTTAACAGGATACAAGATTTTCAAAAAAAATCACAGGTGGTTCTGGAGCCCATCAATCACACCTCACCCCCCCCCCCCCCCGGGCTATTATCCCTTAAAGGGCTAGTCCGTTCACAAATGATTGCAGTTATAGGTGGAACCCCCCCCCCCCCCCCTTGCATGGGTAGATTGAACAGCAGCAGCCCAGAGTGGAGCTTTAAAGGGGTCCCGTCTGGCCACACAGACAGCGAGCCTGGCCTGCGGTGACCCCCTGGGCACAGAACCGTGGCAGCAGAGGGATTAGGGGTCCTTATGGTCGAAGGTGTCATGACTAGCGAGCAAAGCCGTCTCAGGCGGTGGGCCAGGGGACCTCAGATCCAGCCACAAGCTAGCACTGCCACCCACACTCTCAATCCCCGGGACAAGTGCGGAGATTAGAGAGACATTTCCCCCCAGCTAAGAGAACTTTAACTCCTCCTAAGCCAGCCACCCTGCAGCTGGCACCGGCCTCCGCTGATAATGACAGCTCTGCTGAAAACGCATCGCGGCAACGCGCCAGCAGGGATTTCAGGACTTAAAGGGGAGCCATCATGTGTCGTCAGCCAGTCCTCATTGTGACCTTTTATTGGGAAGTTTACACCATTCTAAATTTTTTTTGTTTGTTTTTTTGTACAGTTTCACACTTTTTATTGACTTTCTGCTCCGTATTCATCACATCTGCAAAGTCCTCATCTACAGGACTTCCAGCAGAAGTGAACCCAACCACCAACCTCTTCAATCGTTCCAAAAGTCCTATTCAACACGGTAGCTTTCACCATAATAATCCCTGGTGATCCTGCCATGTAGGTGCTTGTTCAGACACTTCCTGTTGTAGGGTGACACTCTTTGTCTCCCAATTGTGCTCCTTCGTTGTCACCCCGGTCACATGGGCTTCCAATGGAGGCTACAAGTGGAGGTTTCAACACATATGAAGCAGACGTGTCCCATCGTTGTCACCATCAGGAAAGACCCCATTCGCATTAGTTGCAGTATGGAAACGTGCGTTTCTTGTACCGCGCGGGAACGTTTTGCCGTCTGCGGACGCACGCGGGTGCCATTAGGTGATTTGCGGCCACCAAAACACATGGTCCTGCAGTGCAATTTGAAAAGTTGCACCTTTTTTCACATTTGGCAGCCCACCGAAATGAACAGGCTATCGAAACCACGCAGCACACAAGGCATTCAATGGCGACCAGCTTGCAAGATGGCAGCAGAAAAGGCATTTTTTACTCCCATTGGCCACAATCTGGCCCCCCTGCAGCCCAATGGGCAGTAGACTGGCCCTTTGCTTAGAAGGTTTGGAGACCTCTGCCTTAGATGATCTCATACTGCAGCTATACAGCAATGAGGCTTCAGAACAGGAGTGCCTGGGGACCCTCGCATGTCGGGGAGTGCACTGGGGGCCAGTTATGACTTAATTAACCATTTCTCAAGACCCCTCCCCCCTCCAATTTGATTATTCCAAAAGGTGCTAGCCTTAGGGCCAGTGGACTGCAGGTATCATTTCTGCACCTTGCACCACAACCACTGTACTGTACCAGGACCAGCTTAATGCATGGGCATCCCTGGGAAATGCCCAGGGGCCTCAGATGCTCGGGGCCCCCTTGATAATCTTGCATACTTGACAGCTGTCCCGGATTTGCTTGGACGGTCACGCTTTTTACTAAGCTGTCCCAGGATGGCCATGTCCTGGAACCTGTATTGTGTCCTCCTGATCCCAGTATTGTGCCCTCCTGATCCCAGTAGTGTGCCCTCCTGATCCCAGTATTGTGCCCTCCTGATCCCAGTATTGTGCCCTCCTGATCCCAGTATTGTGCCCTCCTGATCCCAGTAGTGTGCCCTCCTGATCCCTGTACTGTGCCCTCCTGATCCCAGTACTGTGCCCTCCTGATCCCAGTACTGTGCCCTCCTGATCCCAGTACTGTGCCCTCCTGATCCCAGTACTGTGCCCTCCTGATCCCAGTATTGTGCCCTCCCGACCCCAGTGCTGTACCCTCCTGACCCCAGTACCGTGCCCTTCTGATCCAGAGGCTCTGTGACCAAGCCCCCTATGGGCGGGGCGAAACGCATCAAAGGTCGTGGCCAGAGTGACTACTGAGGCCATCTCACTACATCCTGTTCCTCTCTGACTCCTGGGGATCGGTTTGAGCGGCGCTCATTCTCATCGACTTTATCCTGGGCTACTCTGAGCATGCTCACACCCGACATTTGTATTAGACTTCCCGAAGCCAGATTTGAATGTTCCTAAAAGGCCAAGGCAGTGCATTCCGTGGGATAAAAGGTGCCCTCAGCCGTCTTCACTCATCAGATGGCGGCCAACCACGCGGGAGCATCTCAGCACCCAACCGATCATTCTCACGAAAGTTCGTTCTATAAATGTGTAGGTTGTGACATGGAAGATGGGGGGAGGGGGGTCTGTACATTGATTAGCGGTACGTTCCTTTATGCTGATTGGACCATTTACATTCCAGGCCATCTGCTGGTACAGGAGACTTCCATGGCAGACTTCATACTTACCCACAAAGCTGGAGAAGTCGATTTGTTTTCTCTGGGTGACACCCTGCCATCAGAATACACGCATTGTCTGATAGTGTCATGGCGGTGATGGACACGCAGCATTGTCAGGTAAACAAATGCGCGGAATCCTGTGGGCTTGGAGTAAATGCGACACTTCATCTGATAAGGGCAGAAAGAAAATACAAAAATCAGATGCATGCACTCAGCCCCCGGGGACGTCATCTCTGATGGTTCAGTCACAATGACAGACGAGTTATTTATACATGGAAAGAAGAGCTCTGCTAGAGGAGGAGACGAGTATAGAGGAGGCAGAGAGAAGGGAAAGTCCGACTTATAGCTTGCAAGACAAGGCAGTTCACTTTAACAACTCTGTTGTTTTTAATCCCACTGACACCAACGGTGGGGCTTCTTTAATCCCACTGACACCAACGGTGGGGCTTCTTTAATCCCACTGACACCAACGGTGGGGCTTCTTTAATCCCACTGACACCAACGGTGGGGCTTCTTTAATCCCACTGACACCAACGGTGGGGCTTCTTTAATCCCACTGACACCAACGGTGGGGCTTCTTTAATCCCACTGACACCAACGGTGGGGCTTCTTTAATCCCACTGACACCAACGGTGGGGGCTTCTTTAATCCCACTGACACCAACGGTGGGGCTTCTTTAATCCCACTGACACCAACGGTGGGGCTTCTTTAATCCCACTGACACCAACGGTGGGGCTTCTTTAATCCCACTGACACCAACGGTGGGGCTTCTTTAATCCCACTGACACCAACGGTGGGGCTTCTTTAATCCCACTGACACCAACGGTGGGGCTTCTTTAATCCCACTGACACCAACGGTGGGGCTTCTTTAATCCCACTGACACCAACGGTGGGGCTTCTTTAATCCCACTGACACCAACGGTGGGGCTTCTTTAATCCCACTGA